GGCTTTTCAGAAGAGAAGCCATCCTCACCCTCCATCTTTTCAGCTCTGCTAGCTAAATGCAATGGCAAGGTCATGGTTCTGTAAAAAACCCCATGGGTGGAGTAAGCTCAGGACACATTAAGCTATTGCAGAGGCACAGTGAGTATGGTCTACCTTGCAAGATATCCTTAAGCATGTCAGGGGAGGGATATGGGCTGGCAGGAGACAGTCCCTGGGATGAGTAATGTTGAAATAGAGCCTTTTCAGCACTTTTAATAAACATTTACTGAATTTCTAGTGTGAGACACCATCTGCCTTAAGCATGGGCAAAATTAAGCTCAGTGTCTGCTCCCTAGGATCTCATAATCTATTTAAATGAGAGAAACAGCAACCATAGTTCAATGTGATCAGTTAGAGTAGATATAAAGTTCTGCCGAAGCAACGACTCCTCCTTTGCCTCATTTCCCATCCTTCTGAAAAAGGATCAGGGAAAGTCATAGAATAAGGTGATGTTTAGAGCCTGTTTTGGAAGGATGGATGTTTACCAGGAAGAGAAGAACAAATGGAAACAGGAGGAATCACAACAGAGGTATAAAATTGAATGGAGGGGCAGAAAATGACAAATAGTAGTCCAATGTGACTACAGAGTAGTCAGGGAATCAGAGACAAGACTGCAAAGACAGTCCTGGTTTCAACTATGATGAGTCTTATATATCAGGCTAAAGGAATTGATCTTTATTTCATAAGCAGTGGGGAAGCAGCAAAAGGCTGTAAACAGAAAAACTGTATGATTGGCTCTCTTCTGTATCATGTTGGAGGTCATAAGGGGTTAAATATGGAAGAGGCAGAACTGGAACCAGAAAGAGCACTTAGAAGACACAGAGATGATTAGTCTAGTGCCCTTCTCTGGGGTACTTGTACAGTGAGCATTAGATACCGATGTCATAGATACTTAGATGCTGGCAATATTTTTTACCCAATAGAAAAAATTAACTTCATATTCATTCATCAGAGTTAAGTATGTATTATGTACTTGGTTCTTAATGTGGAATTAATAACACATTGCCTCTGCCTTGTAAGGAACTCAGTCTAATCAGAAGCAAACTGTATATGCATGAGAAGTAAAATAACAGGATAGTTAATTAAGTATCAAATGGGTGTCACAGCAAATTGGTGCAATAACAGTTAAAAGGAAAGAGCAATAAGGACTGGCTGTGATTGTCAGGAGGAGGTAGGACTGAGGTTGGTCCTGAAAAATCGGAAGAATCTGGAGAGGCATGAATACACAGATAAGTAAAACAGATGGACAAGTAAATAAATGTCAGCACAGTGTGATGTGACAATAGCAGCATGCTTGGGGATCACAGAGACGGGCACAGAAATCAGAAATTTATGATGGGGAGAAGGTTTACTTTTCAGAAGAGATGTCCTTTGAGCTGAGTTTTAGTGGACAAGTAGAGAACAGCTATATTAAAAGGAGAAAGAGGCACATATGCAAAGGAAGAGAGACATGAAGAACTTGATGAGTTTGAGCAACTAGATGGGGACTGAAAATACTGCACATGGATAACGGGATAGATTAGTTTGTCTCTGATTCCCTCACTCCTCTGTAGTCACATTGGATGTGTTTGTAGGAGGGACAGGAAACAAGGCTAAAAAGGAGCAGTTGGACCAAAAGGTTCTAACCTTTTGGCGAAGGACCTTGTGTACTAATATAAGGAGCTTAAATTTGATCACAAAAGGTATTGGAGTACTATCAGCTGGAGGGTGAGGAGTGACATGATCCAATTTGTATTTTAGGAAGATCGTTCTAGAAATAGTATAGAACTACTTTGAGTGTCTGACTAGATGGTGATATCATTCACTAAGGGAACATAGGAGGAGCAGACTGGGAAGAAAGATTTTGAGTTCAAATTTTTCATGTGTTGAGCTTAAAGTGTGTATTTGTTAACACACAAACTTGATGGCTTCAAACAACAGAAATTTGTTGTCCTAGAGTTCTGGAGGTTAGAAGTCAAAAATCAGCAGGGTTGGTTCCTTCTGGAGGCTATAAGGGTATATCTGCTCCATCCCTCTTTCTTAGCTTCTGGTAGCAGTTGGCAATTATGGTATTCCCTGCCTAGTAGAGTGATCACTCCAATCTCTGCTCCTATGTTCATATCATCTTTGTGTGTATGGAAGGGGCAGAACTGGACCCAAAAAAGGCACTTAGAAGACACAGAGATGAGGGTTAGTCTAGTACCCTTCTATGGGGTACTGTATGGTGAGCATTAGATACCGATGTCAGAGATACTTAGATGCTAGTAATATTTTTTAACCCAATAGAAAAAATTGAAATATTCATATAAAATATGAATATTTCAGGGGATAGTCATAAGAAATATTCAGGGGAGACACAAACATTCAGTCTATAACAATCTGCAAAGAGCCTGATTCAAAGTAACACCACATTCACAGATATTGGAGGTTAGGACTTGGATATGCCTTTTTGCAGGGCACTATTCAAACCACTGTCCTGTCCTCTTATAAGGATTAGGGCTCATCCTGAATTCACGGTGATCTCAAGATCCTTAATAACATCTGTCTTAGTCCATTTGGGCTGCCATAACAGAATATGGACTAGGCAGCTTATAAATAAGAGAGCTTTATTTCTCACAGTTTTGGAGGTTGGGACGTCCAAGATCAACATGCTTAGAGATTTAGTGTCTGGTGAAGGCCTGTTTCCTTATTCATAGATGTCACTGTGTCCTCATATGGTGGAAGGGACAAGCCAACTCTCTTGGATCAATTTTATAAGGGCACTAATCCCATTCATGAGAATATAGCTAATCACCTATCACTTCCTTCTGTGACGTGAATGTGTCCCCAAAAATTCATGTTTGGAAATTTAATATCCAATGCAACAGCATTGGAAGTTGGGGCCTTTTGAGAGGTGTTTAGGTCATGAGGGCTTAGTCCTCATGAATAGATTCATGCCATTACAAAAGGGCTTGATGGAGTTTTGTCTCTTTTCACCCATTATCTGCCTTCTGCCATGTGAGGACATGGCATTCCTCCCTTTTGGATGACAAGGGGCTCAAGGTAACATCCTGGAAGTAGAGACCAGACCCTCATCAGAGAACTGAACGTGCTTAGACTTCTCAGCCTCCAGAACTGCAAGAAAAGATATTTTTGTTCTTTATAAATTACCCACTCTCAGGTGGCCTGTATAGAAGCATAAAACGGACTAAGTCAGCTTTTAAAGGCCCTGCCTCCTCATATCATATTGGGAGCTACGATTTCGACATGCGATATATTCAGGGGAGACACAAACATTCAGTCTATAACACTCTGCAAAGATCCTGTTTCAAAGTAACACCACATTCACAGATACTGGAGGTTAGGACTCAGATATGCCTTTTTGCAGGGCACTATTCAAACCACTGCAAAGTGAACAAAGGGATAAGTGTCTTCATAATCTGACTTGTACTCCAGCCCTGGGGAGCTCTGTTTTGTGCTTCCAAATGCTAATATCATGCAACAGGCAAAAGAAAGTACAAAATTAAAGGCTGTGGTGTATGGCAGAAAGGGCACTTGTGGACTTAGATTCAATACTGGCACTTTAATAGTTGAAAATATGGTCAGCCATTTAACATTTACAAGCCTTGATTTCTTCATTTGTAAAAGAGGCATTGCCAGGCATATAGTTAACTTTAAAAATCATTATTTCAGGGAAAAAGAAAAGGTGACGATAGTATATTTGAAAATGATCCACATTAAAATGTGGTCATGTGAGTGAATTGGATCTCTTTAAAAGAGAATAGAGGCCGGGCGCAGTGGCTCACACCTGTAATCCCAACACTTTGGGAGGCTGAGGCAGGTGGATCACAAGGTCAAGAGATCGACACCATCCTGGCCAACATGGTAAAAGCCCACCTCTACTAAAAACACAAAAATTAGCTGGGCGTGGTGGTGCGCAGCTGTAGTCCCAGCTACTGAGGAGGCTGAGGCAGGAGAATCGCTTAAACCTGGGAATGTGGAGATTGCAGTGAGCCGAGATCACGCCACTGCACTCCAGCCTGGTGACAGAGCAAGACTCCATCTCAAAGAGAGAGAGAAAGAGAGAGGGAGAGAATAGAAATTGGCATTAAGAATAGTGGAATGTCCTGTCAGAGATAGACATCAGTGATGAGGAGGGAATCTAAGAGAAGGTGATGTTCAGTTAGCCAAAGGCGCATTTGGTTTCAGGAAGATTAGCTATCAGGTATCTCACCACCTAAGTGGGAGGGTGGTTGGCAAAGCAAGTCAGGGGTTAGAAACTGGGATACTGGGAAGATTTCTAAGATATTTATTAAGTTTAATTACTGGGCTAGACATTGGAGATAAAACAATGAATAAGACACCTACTTTCCAGACAGAACACACCATCTTTTGAAATCAGCAGGTAGACAAGATAAAAATACAATGCAATGTGAAGTGCTACAAAAGGCTAGATATGAAGTTAGGGAACAGATCTGTGGGAGCCTCTGAAGCCTTTAGAGAAAATACGTTTGAACAGATTCTTGAAGGACAAATAAGAGTGTGTGTGCCAGGGAAGAAAACTTTCCCAGCAGAGAGAAAAAGGCAAAGCTTAGGAATTAAGAGCTAGTGGACAAGAACTCAAATCAGTCAAAAGCCCACGTGCAAATTGATCAATGAAGCCACAGGAAGAATATTAACACAGAACCTTACTGCTGACTCCAGCATCATTGGGCATTAACTTACAGTTTTCCTGCCTAAAATGCAGGTTTGTCCCAGAGACTCAGAGAGGAGTGAGTCTGGAGATATGAGTCAAGTGGTTCCAGCATTTGGGAAAAGAGAAATGCAGACAGACTGATGACCAGCTAGGTGCTGACATTAGCCAAAGTTAGGGAAAGAGGGGGAAAGATGACAGAATTTACTATGTGACAGATTATCTAATTTAAACTTCACAGCAATCTTCTGATGTAAAAGTAAACAGAGCAGCGAAATAACAGCTCAGATCATCAAAACGCAAAACTGACCTAATTCCAAGAGAAAGGAAGCCTTCACCAGCTGGTCTCTTTGGTGCTTCCTGCTGAGTTAGACAGTACTAGGGCCTAAAGGTGCTTACTAGAAGTCATTCAGCTACATGAGGAGCAGTTTGTGCACCTTGGTTGCTACTGACTTCACTGCATTTTTTTTCCAGCTAAAACGATTATTGGATTATATCTACAACAGGGAACAATGAATGTGTACTCAAGTAATTCGCAAATTTGAGTGGCTTCCCGGTGTGCAGTAAATGTCCGTTCAGTTAGGTTCCCAAGGATATACATGGTAACGCTATCTCCAATACTAAATGGAAAAATCCATCCCCAGTATCACAGGAAAAAAACATCAGACTTCACAGGCCTCCAAATTTAAGCAGCCTGAAGTGACTCAACGTCCTCCTTGAGGACTCTCAGTCTGCAAGCCTCCAGCCGCCTAAGTGACCATTTGCTCACTTCTGCCCGCGCAGTCACCACGCCGGTCTGCGTCCACGTGTGGTCTTGATATCGGCCCCTCCCACCCTAGCCACGGAGACCTTGGCCTGAGAAGCAAGGAGGGCGTCACAGCACGAGATGGCACCGACCTTTCGGCGATGGGGAACGGAGTGGAAGGGGAGAAGCGTCCTCGGTTTTTTAGGGTGCCCTTTCCGAGGAATCTGCAGGCGGCGCGAGGCAGCGCGGAATCCCCATCGGCCCCTTCTGGCCCCTGCGCGATTCCACGCGCCTGAGGCCACGGTCCTAGGTTCAGGGGCCGCGGCGAAGCCCGAGCCCTCAGGCCCGGAGTGCCGGTCGTCTAGGGTGCGGGTCGTGTGGGGTGCAGGCTGGGAAGGGGAGGGTGTGCACGGCGGGTCCCCCCAGTCCTCGCCAGGGCGCAGGCGCAGGCGCGCGGGGTGCGGTCGCGGCGGGGCGGGCACTGCCGGGAGGGGAGCGCGGCGGCGGCGACGGCGGCGACGGCGGCGGCGGCGGGCGCGGGAAGATGGCGGCAGCGGCGGCGGCGGCGGCGGCGGCGGCCGAGCAGGTCTGTGAGCCCCGCCGCGGCCGCGGGCTGAAGGAGCGCGGGAGGCCGGGTCCTGCCGGCTGGGCCCGTGGGAGCGCCGGCGGGGGGGTGCGGGGCGCGCGGGCCGCAGGGTCTGGGCTCGTCGTGGCTGATCGGGGCGGGACGGGAGGAGCTGTCCGCCGCCGAGGATGCTGGCACAGGCTGGGGACCCGGAGCCTGCGGCAGCCTCGGCCCGCCCTGGCATGACTGACCCCTAGCGAGGCTGAGGAGGGGTCTCGGTCTAGAGAGCCTGGGAGGCGGTCGAGCCAGCCTGGAGCCTGCGCTGGGCCGTGTCAGGGACTGACCCTGTGCAGCCTCCAGCAGAAATTCAGATAAAAATAACCTCAGCCCCAGCAAGGAGGCTCCCCTGACACCAGCCAAGAAACGGTCAGCTGTTGCCCAGGTGTCAGCTTGCAGCCACTTTTTGTTTCTGCCATCTCCAATATGCAGACATCCCAGATTTCCCTTCCCACTTTGGTTTTTGAAGATTTAGTCATCAGTCTAAAACTATCTCCTGTCCACTTTTAAAAATGATTTATCCAAGATTTCCTGACCTGCGTTGTAAAGTTGTAACTTGGAATGGTTTAAAAGGCTCCCTCTTCCCCCCAAAATCTAGCTATACGTATGCATACATGAACATGCATATGGGTGTGTACACATGTATATTATGTTTTAATGTATACATACACATAATCGCTAGGGTGATTTATTATAATACAGATAATTTTTCAGTCACTTTCCCCCTTAACTATTGTTTTCCTTTAAACAATTAGAGTAGTTTCTCTTGACAAAGTCTCATTCTAAAACATTGTTGAAAAAAAAGGAGTCAAGTTTTTAACATTATTTGACCTTTGGAACGATTTTCTTAGATAATTAACTTTTTAGAGACCTATTAGGTATATGTCACTGGAGGACTCATTCTAAAAATAAAAGATGTAAAATCTGCCTTCAAGTAGCTTAAAGTCGAACAGCCAAATACATGCAGAGAAATCAGCTAAATACAATAGGCAAGCTGCAGATTTGTAACAGTAAAATAAAGCTTAGAGAAATGAATGAAACTGGAAGGAGACAAAACTTCTTGGAGTTGTTGAAATTTAAATTGTTCCTTGGCTTTCCTCATTTCCCGCCTAAATTATCAGCTTCTGTTTCAGATGATTCTTTTTCCATCTGGCTCTATTTTTGCTTTACACATAAGTGGGGCAGTCTGAGCCATTCCAATTTACGCATTATGCCTCAGCCCTGAACTTTACTGAATTATCCATAGAGATCTCAAACTCAAAATTTTCAAAACTGGACTCTGTCATATTTCCTGTTAAAAAGGCTACAACCATCTATTTACTTGGTTAAACTGGCCAGTTTAAGGGAGCTGAGAAGGACCTGCACTTGGTTTAATGTTCTGCTTTCGTGGGCTTGATATTTAAACAGTGAGACCCAAATTTTCTTTTTCCCCTGGGCCCCACAAATTATATACTCAGTCCTATTTGGGAGTGATCTTTGACCCCTTTGTGCCACACTCATATCCAAATAATCACCAGATGCTAACAGTTCTACCTCTTTAACACCTCTCCCCAGTCTTCAGCTTCAAAGTCAAACCTCACTGGGACTCTTTTTTATTTGTATGAATATATTTATTATTATTTTTTTATTATTATACTTTTAAGTTATGGGGTACATGTGCAGATCGTGCAGGATTGTTATGATAGACTGGATAAAGAAAATGTGGCACATATACACCGTGGAATACTATGCAACCATAAAAAAGGATGAGTTCATTTCCTTTGCAGGGACATGGATGAAGCTGGAAACCATCATTCTCAGCAGACTGACACAAGAGCAGAAAACCAAATACCACATTGGGACCCTTAGAGAAGCCCACTCTGGAATCTTCATCTCTAGGCTCTTCAGTTCCAGTTCATGTCTTTTTGGAGTGATTTTGCTGCAGTGCAAATCTGATTGTATCGGAAACCTACTTTTAACTGTTCAGTAGTTCCCCCTTGCCTTCAGGATAAAGTCCATTGTTCTTGTTGTGGTATTTATGTCACTTACCGGCCCCTAAGCACATCTCTCACTATATTTCTTGCTTCATCCCTATTCCCAGCCTTCTCACCATCCACATAAAGTGACCAAAATTAGTTCTCCCAGAGATGATTTGCTCTCAAAGTCTCCATGCTTTTTCCTCTGCCTAGAATGGCCTTCTCAGCTCTTTTGCCTGGTTAACTCCTGTCCATCCTTCAAGAGTCAACTCAGCTCTTAGAAACCTTCCCTGATGCCCTTGCCTGCTAGGTGAACATGCATTCCTCTTCTGTACCCTTTCCACATGGTATGCATTGCTCCACTGCAGCACTTGCCATGCTGTATGAACTGTTAGTGACCTTGTCTGTCTACCTGACTGACGTATAATTAAGCTTCTTGAGGATGGACACTGTGTTCATCCCGGTAGTTTGGAGCACCTGGCTTATAGTAACTATTCAGTAAGTGTTAAGTGCATCCAGATGAAAACAGTAATGGGCATGGATTGGCAGAGAAGAGTAAAGAATACATCTCAGGAGGGGTGAATTTTGCCCTTTCTTTTTTTTTGTGGACCTATATTCAAACTCTGACTAAGACTTTTAAATTGCCCATTTGTTAGGGTTGTCAGAAGCCCATGCTAAGGTTCTTTTTTGTAACCTGACTACAAATTCAGTTAAGTCTTCTCTTAAAGTATTAATCTGTCCTTTTTTATTCCACCTTAGTTTAGGTCCTCTTACCTCAAACCTCCATTACTACAACATCCCCAGCAGCTACTTACTGGTGCTCTTCTTTCCTCTCTCTCCTAAATGCCCACACATTTAACATTCTGAAATATTGGCATTTGTGCTCAGAGACCTCCAGAGACTCCTAATTAAACACAACATAAAGACTAGAATGTGTACCCTGCTGTCCAAGAACTTTCACAATGTGGCCCTACTTTTCCAACTTCCTCTTCCCTACCTTGCCATATCTGACCCGTCTACTCCTCTTCATTTCCCTAACAACTCCAGGTCATCCTGTCTCTCCTTCCTTTGAACTCTGCAGCGTGTATTGCCTATTTATTTTGGCACCCAAACACACAGAGTGATTTATTGCATTGTTAACTATTTTATGTTAACATGTACACAAATCATTTCTGTTAATACGTAGAAGATAAGGACCCTTTCCTATAGTTCTTTTGTATGCCTATCTCTGGAATTCGTGTTTAAGCATAAAGTGCTTAATACATGCCCATTCGACAACTGAATTTTCTCAGAGCTCTAAGCAATAAGTAGGCCAGTATCCATTTCTCCCCATTTCTTTTGTGCTCTTCATATTCAAGATTATTGCTCAAAATGTCATTCACCCATAGTCTAGGTCAGAGGTTCTCAAATCATTTTGGTCTCAGGTTTACTTTACACTCTTAAAAATTATGGAGGATTCCAAAAAGCTTTGGTTTATGTGGATTATATTCATTGATATTTACTATAGGAGAAGTTAAAACAGAGAAATTTTTAAGACATAGGGCTATACAAATACACATTCCATTAAGTGATGATGTCATCACATTGATCATGTAGCCTATACATTCATGGGCCTTGGAAAGTGAAAATAGCAAACAATGTCTCAGTGTTATTTTGAAAATACAGATCCCAGAAAGGGTTCATAGAACACTTCCAGGACTCCCCACCCTGTGTTTGAAAACTGCTGATCTAGGGTAATGTAAGCTCTAGTCAGTGAAATTATAAATAACAAACTGTGTCAGCCTTTCCAGTCTTATTTTCATATAAATGAAAATATATACAGTTGTACCTCAGTGTCTGTGGGGGATTGATCTCAGGACCCCCAAAGGATAGCCAAATCCACTGATGCTCAAGTCTCTTATATAAAGTGGTATAGTTTTTGCATGTAACCTCTGCACATCTTCCTGTGTACTTTAAATTCATCTCCAGATTACTTATAACACTAAACATAATGTAAATGCTATGTAAACAGTTGTTATACTGTGTTGTTTAGGAAATAATGACAAGAAAAAAGTCTGTACATGTTCAGTACAGATGCAACCATTCACCTTTTTTCCAAATATTTTTGATCCACAGTGGTTAAATCCATGGATATGGATCCCACAGATATGGAGGGCCAATTGTATATGTAAAAAAAAATACATTATTAATAAAAACAGAGTTACCCCCCTAGGATATGTATGACAGCTCTGCTCAGAAATGAGCTGTGTACTTTGACAGTGGGACTATTGAAAGTAGAGAGGAAAAATATCAAAGAGTCACCTTGAAGTTTCTTCTGTATTCTCC